TTTTTCACTGTTCCTAGAGCAACGGGCACCACAGGAACTTCTGCCGTCACTTTCTAGATCTTTTGTATTTCCATACTAAATTCTTGATATTTCAATACCTTTTCTCTCCCCTTAGCAACAACAGTGGCGATAGTAGGGCATGGCATATCAGTGATTTCTGCTCGCCTTTTCGCCTAGTCTATCAACACGATACCTAGATGATTTGCCGATATTTCTTACTCAGTTCGTATTGGGAAGTTCCATAGTATTTTCACTTGCACAGTCTCCTCCATCGCTTTCGGCTGACGTCTTCACAATTACTTTCTTGCTGGTAAGTTGGATCCCTTGAACAATGCCAATGGACTATCCTGACTGTGTCTTTGTCTGTACTCTCTATTCGCGACCGTTTCGCTCATGGAAATTATATAGCTGACGATCTCTTCCTTAACTTGACACATACTGCAATTCGCTTCTGGCTGGTTGGAGTTAGGCGGCTATTAGAAAGGCTTATATTTTACCAATGAGTCCACTTCTTGATTGCCAGTTGAAACTCTAGTGGATGTCTATGTCTTCACTGTGAAAATATTGCCGATGAAATTCTTTGTTCATATAACGGTTGCATCGGGCGTTCTGTACTTTTCTTGATAATTGCCTGCATTTACAGATGTTTACTGTTCTAGTTTGCAAAGGTCGTTAACCTTTACAACTTCAGCAACCTATCCTTCGCTGCCGAGCCAAATATTGCCTAGGGATGAGGTCTCTAATTCTAGCGTATATTTGTTACTACGAACACATCTTCCTCATTATTTGAGTGGGATATATAGTGTGTCATATATACTTAGTAATATGCAACATTTACGGGAATACAGTATTCAACATTTATTCGAAAACAGTAAAATGGCTTACTTTGTACATATCGGTCAGGACTAAAATGCGAATCTCGAATGGATGACCCTTCTTCAGACAATTTGGAAATACGTATTCGGCACCCCACTGGTTGTTGACTAGACTATTTAGGACAATCCTGTCTTCGATGCAGAACCGAGGATTGACGTGAAGTGCGATGTTGTCCAGCTTGTCGCCATCCACCAAGAGACCACACGACAGATTGACACAGAAACGACTATAAATAATATGTACGCATGTAAATGACACTTGAAAAACATCATAACGAACTCTACAAACAAGAATGGCTACTGAAATATGGTGAAATGCATAAAGCATGGTGACGAGACAGAAATACTGAGCTCTTGACTCTGTAATATCGCATGAACAATGGCGGTTGAGATATGCAGAATAAAGGCATCTTTCCTGAGTGAAAACCTTTGTCTGCATAAAAATCCTTATTCAGGATGACTAAAACCTGCGCATAAGCACCCATCATGGGTAATGTCAGAAATTACATGCTTGCAGACCCTTAACACGGGCCCTCCCATTCATAACAATGAAATATCCAACAAGAACTGTATTCACTGCCTCTATGCGGCATCAACACATTCAGTCGACAGAGAATCGTTGTTACAATATAGCGTTTAAAGCAAAGAAACTGAGTAGCGTTAAGGGTGGAATGAACTTGTAATTGCTGAAAACATTTCGATGGGAGAAACTGTTATTCACAAACACGCAGCATAAAACGTTTCGAAGCATCGATTGAACATGAAAGCCCTCGTCAGCCAAAATTACTGGACTCAACTGTCGTTACCGCATGTTGGTGAGGAAGGAGGATGACCATTTCAGATATTACATATGGTAATGGTATTATAAAAGTGACATTCAATCCGAAATTATTTAAATAATAACGTGGGGTGGTAATGAACGCATGTTAAGAGATATCAACATACTGTTTTTGTTACGTTGAGGTTGGAGGTGAACATGGATGAGGGAGATTTTTGGGAAAAAAAGTGCGACAGTAACCATTATTTCGCGAAGTGCGCATAAGATCTTTCGATTTCAGGTTGACATACCGATGGGTGACTGCGATAAGAAGCTGCACTTCTACTCCAGCTGATGACATCATAGTGAAGTATGATCAGGGAACGGTCGGAAAAGGATGTAAGAAACGAATGCAACTATGTTCGTCACGGAAAATAGAACAATCTTCATCACCCACCTCAACATAACCAAAATAATTCCATCTTTACCTTTCTGCTGGCGTTTATTTCCATCACTCCATCGCTAACCATGTAAGGTCAGACTCAACGTAAAATCTGTAGTAATTAAAGGCATAACGCTATGCAACATGTGTGAAAAAAATCGGTGTGTCAAATCCCGTTTAGAGAAACACATGTAGCTTTCGAACATGGACATGAAGAACATTCGGCTCTTGTGAAGCATGTTAATGACAACCTATACCGTAATGATAGCAAAAACGAGAAAATCTTAGATCGTGGCAATACCACTGATGGTCTGACGGTACCGCGTCTCTATATTAGCCGTCATTAAACCACTTATTGCAATTTTTTGTAAACCACGAATTATGTTTCAGAGATATTTCATCTGACTCATAACTTTGCGAATCTCATACGCAATAACTTTGCCTCTGCTATCTTATCAAATTCTCCGTTATTCCCCAGGTTTTTATCCTTTTCATGTTTCATTTGCTATGCCTTTCAGTCACCTTCTGCTATGCTGTAATTTGTCACTGTAACGCTTCAATCGCTTACTTGCTAATCACCGTTATCCGTTACTACGATATTTTGTCTGTGTGCTTTTAAATCTTACTGAAGACCGAATGCCGCTGTGAGATCTGAAAGCTTCTTCACTAACGATAAATGCATTGCTCCAGAAATCAGACAACGCTTAGTGTTTTCGTATTCCTGATCATGTGCTGCAAATTATCTTTATTGGTGATGCCATTTAAGCAACAAAACCTTAATTTAAATCCTAATTCATCTTATACCTAGAAGGCAAGTCACGTGAATAATTAACAGTCATTTTCAACTACTAAATGTGATTATATAAACTAAGCTCTCGGTGTTCAAGTCGATCTTTATCCCCATGCTCACCGGCGGTCAGTCTGAAAACTAAGATCTCAGGATTCAAGTCGATCTTTATCCCCATACTTACCTACGGTCATGAATCGTGGACCATCAATGAAAAACTTCGAACCCGGGTACAAGCTGCTGAAATGGGCTTTCTTAGACGAGTCGCTGGCCTTACGCGTTTCGGCAGTGTCCGGAATACTGACATCCGGAATAGCTCCAGACTGAGAAGTCACAGATGCGATGGCTCGGGCATGTGCTGGGAATGTCTCTAGAAAGGAAGGCTAAGCAACTGTTTCTTGTGAAAGCGACCGGCAGAAGGCCCAGGGGATGGCCAAGATTAACCTGGTGCAAACATATGGAAGGAGTCTGTTCCAGCCTCCATTTTCTTCTGGCGAAACTCAGACTCCGACACAATATCGGGAACGTTGGAAACGCTG